TATTCGTGCATACTGAGATGCGTCGTATTTAAATAAAAAAACTCATTTCGGCTAAGGGATTAGGAATGTTTAATTCCCAAGAAATTAGCAATTCCTCTTTGAGGAATTTACTTCGTTAAAAGGTAAAGCGGAGATATTTGGTCCAAAGTGTGCCCACGAACGTGACTGAACCTGATACATGGTCAGCTACGCCGCGACCTAAACCATATCGCTATGTTTCTACTCGCAAGAAAGTCACTAAGATAACGATATCTTCTCTTCCATGAACAAAGGAAGGCGAATACGAGGACCTCGAGCAAGTTCGATAAAAGAAGAAAAGTCTAACACGTCAATTCGATATTTATATATTCGGTACAGACTGAATCGGCGAGTGAGCAAATGGCGGCACTGATGCATTAATCCGCCGTAATCTGGAAAAGTTCGGCGATCGGTTAGTTTACGACGTCGACCCAAATGGTTCTTTATTCCCCCCGAAATCTCTCCAACTGGTTCGATCCGTACGCGAACACAATTTATACCATTACCATGCCTTACGGGCACCAATTGAAATCGCGATTTAGCATTCTGCGTCCCGGAGGCGACCATTAAAAATCGTTAATTCAATTTGCTACATCTGCTCCGACGGTCGAGATGATTGCCCCTCCACCGGTTCCCTCTCCTCGCTTTTATATTCCAATCGATTCGCATGGGAAACGGGTGACACGAGTGCACCAAATGACAATCGGTTATATTTTATGACAGTCATGCAGAAAACAGGTGTTTCGGAAAGCACCGATTTTTCTCGTATATTTTTCGCGAACGTGAAAAAAAAAGTATGGTACTTTTACTGTCATTGGTGTTTTTTGTTTGTTCTTTTTTTTTTAATTCGGCACTTATTCGTCGATTGGTTAAATATATCCAACTATTTGTTACTATTATTTACACGAGGAACACGTGTTGAAATATTGTTCGCTATTTAACCCTTTAACGCTCACATTGTTCTCTACTCGACGAGCCAAAAATTATTTTCTTTTTTTTATAGAAAGTTGTGTGCTGTAACAAAGAATAACGCGTTACGGAAAATGAAAGAAGATGCACTCTCGTTGAGCACGCGAGACACGAGCGTTAATTGGTTAACAATTACACCCGTCCCTCAATTTACGCGGCAAATTTATACTTTTTATACGCGAAATTGATTTACGCGGTCAGATACGTACATGTTTTCCTATAAGTTTTAAAATTGACACTTTTATACAGTCAATATTGTGAGATCGGTTGGCGGAACGCAGAAAGAAGCTTTGTTGCGTTAGGCCTGCACAAGGCGTTGTCTTTGGCCGCTGGGCCGTAGTGCGGAAGCGAACAGTGTGACTCTGGACGTTGAGAGGACGACATTGTTACTATACGGTTTAGATTTATAATTTATATTTTTTAATTTTAACCCAGTCATGTCTAACAAACTTTCAGTCACACGAAAGAGGAGAAAGTCGACGTCTTTGGACATGAAAATGAAAATTTTGAATCGACTTGAAGAAGGAGAAAAACCTACAGCGAAAAACTTTTACTAGCTTTTATTTCCAATATTTTTCCTTTTACACCGACAGACTCAATTTACGCGATTTTTATTCGCGTAAATCAAATCCACGTGGAACCGATATTCGCGTAAATTGAGGGACGGGTGTACATTAGTTCAGCAGACCTTCTTCATTCATAGACAGTAGATTTATTGAAATCTATTAAAATTAACGATACACAAGTATAACTTAATAGAGAAATAGAGAAATACGTAAGAACGTTCGAAACCGATCTGTAAAAATATTCAGTATCCATCCTTCAAGTTATACCACTTTAAAACGCACTGTACGTACACGTACATACAGGCGATGATAACGTACCGTCAACAATGTATTGAAAATTCTGCGAATGTAACCTGAATGAGATATCGAGGAAACGATACTGAATAGAAGATAAGCGGCGGCAGAGTGAAGCTTTATGCCCATCGGTGTCTCTGCTCGATATCGTACAATTCTCGGGACGAAAGTTTTTTCCACATTTCCAGTTGACGAGGGATCATCGCACACGATTATCTTTCCAACTGTAATCACAAGACTGCCGCTGTTGACCGCATTTAAGAACGATCAGCTTCGCTGGACATAGGAAAATCGCAAGGTTCGATGCATCTCGTCGACCGCTTACCGAATTTCTGATGGTACCAACACACGGCGTCCATCATTTTTGTCTGTACCTTCGCCGTACTCGAGTTCTCATCCGCGGTGCCTTGACGTGCTGGATTGACGCTCGAACTCTGGCCTCGTAACACTTCCTCCACGATCCGGCGAAGTTCCACAATCTCCTTCCTAAGGGCTTCGATCTCCTTCAAGATATCGTTCACCTGGCTCTTTTGACAGTACAACGCCTTCTCTAGCAACTTGTTCGCGAGTACGGCGACTTTCTTAAGCGGAACGTCGTTCTGCGTAGCCAGAATGTCTTGCATCGGGACCGGCAATCTGCTTATCCATATCGAACGTAGCTTGTCCTCCGGGAAAGATTGTCCAGCCAGTGTCCTCATATGCTTCAAAAATTGCGACGGTGTGCGGTTTCCTACCTCCTCGCGTTCCAGTAGATGGGAGATTCGCTGTACTTGCGCAGTCGACAGTCGCCGTATCAACTCTTTTTTCAACGTTGAATACATGTTCTCTTTGGGGGGCTGGTTCACGATATCCGTTATCTCTTTCACCTGCATGGGTCCCAGCTTCGTGACGATGAACCAAAATTTCGTCGCGTCCCCGTCTATATTGTTCGCCGCGAATTGCGCCTCCAGGTTTTGGAACCACATTTTCGGATCTACGGGGTCCAGCATGGGGAAACAGTTCAAAGAATCTAAGATCGCGGCCTCTTCCGGTGTAGTTGTTTTGTTCAGCGCCGACAATGCCACTATGCGTTCCATGGTTCGAAATTTCGATCACTTCTGGATCACCGATGGGAATAGAGAGAATGGAAGGAAGATAACTGACTTTATGTTTATTTTTGTGGAATAGGACGTTTCACTGATGTGTCTCCTTCGCTGTCTCGGCGTAAACTGAAGCAGATCTGCGATATGTAAAGTTGGTTCGGCCGGTCTCGGCTGTCATCGGCTAGCTTCTCGCGCTCATTTGTCGCGTGTGTCGTGATTGCCTCTCGTGTTGCGCGTTGCGTGACGGTCATGACGAGGCCTCGCGACGCCATAAGAGTTTGTTTACACTTGAATAGCTATTCGCCGTAGAGACCCCCGCGTGATTTGAATTTGGTTGTTCGAATGCGTCTGTCGCAGCGATTTTTAACCCTTTTCTATCTCACGACACGTGCAAATTAATTATTAAAAATTTACGGCACACCAACAGATGTATTCTCTTTTTTAGAAGAAAATGACATTTTTCTCCCGTTACTTTCTTAATTTTTTTTAACCTTTTACGGTCTAAATAGTGTAGCTTCCCTTTATTTCAATATTTCAGCGTAATATTAGTTATAAAATAGCAAGTTTCAGTATAATATTAATGCATAAAAAAGTGGTTTATTATAATTCAGAATTTATCATTGTACGATATCTGAAGGCAAAAATTCTTACGTCGAGTTAAGCAGAGGGTGAAAAAATCTTTCGACACACCTGTTAAAAATCTCTGGTCTATCGGGTACTAAATATTATCAGCGTCGAACAACCTCTCACGCGTACTAATTTTTCCATTCTTTAATCTCAATCCTAAACTTGATTTCTTTAGTCGAAATTTAGATGAGAATAGGACATCAATGGTGCAAGATGTACATTAGAAATAGCTTTAAAATAGTAAACATTTCTTCTCTACGTTCTCCTTATCAAATCCGGTTTTCTCGGAATTCGCAAACATGATTTCCCATCGCTGAAACAAATGAATCAGACTTCTGATAACAAAATGTCAACTGAGTAGTTACGTGGTGTTGGCGAGTGCCGTGATAAAAACAAGTGATAGCGGCGACACAAACACCACTACATAAGCCTTTAACACGGGTATACGTACACTGTACGTATCACCATGTCACAGAAAGTGAACCAATACAGTGGCAAATTTCAATTTATGTATCCCTCTCAAATTGACAAAATTCAATGTGCCCAAATGGAAATTAGTCAAAGTACCCAAAAACCCAATATGACCGAAACCAAAACTAAACAAGAGTATACCCTAACCCAAGATCAAGCTATTACAGTAAATTCTCCACAAGTGTCAGTCCGCAAGGAACGTAGACAAGGACAGCGAATGAAAGATAAGGATGAAACGTGAGTCGAGGCAACCAAACGATTTAAATACCAACTTTTTTAATTTTACTTTTTTTATCCCGAAATGTTTCTTAACATATTGATGAGATTTTTCTGATGAAAATGACATCAAACACGACATAATTTGAACAACATTTACTTATTGTCACGCAAAGAAACTGAGTGGTGTAGCGTTACACGCTTGACTGACAGAGAGCGAGGTAACATAGGCGTAGGACCATCTATACTGACACTTGTAGAATCCAAACTGACTGACACTTGTAGATAAATTACTGTATCCTGCAATCACTTGATGGTATTACCATTGAAGAATACTGTTCGGTGCCGAGCACCGCGGCGCAGACCGGCAGGACGAGTGCGTAGTCGAGCCGCATGGCATCAGCGGAACCGTGTTACAATGTCGCGATAAGGCCTTCGACAAAGGGATCCCGCGAGGAACCGAAGCGGGACCGCGGTTGCCGAGGCGAGAGGGCTCGAGTGTTTCTTCGCTTGAGGGGACTCACGTTGGGTCCTGTGTCGCATGGGCCTCCAAAAGCGATGATCGCTCGACGTCTTCCGTATCGCGTCGCACTTACCACCACCACGTCGGGTGTGGACGGCTCCGTGCTATAAAGCACGGAGGTTTTCACTCTCGAAACGCATTCTACTGAAAACACGTCTGCTGAGAACACGCCTAATAATTGTTTTAGTTCGAAAACGTGTTGATTTCTCTCCTATAAATAAGACTCGCCCTGCCGCGAGTCAGCGTTTCCAAGCATCGAAGAGCTTACGGCGTTTTGGGACGCTACAAATACGCTCGAACAATCGGAAACATAACAGAACCCAAAGCTATAAAATACTTATCGAGGATTTCCAACAGAAGGATTTGTATGTACCTAGATAGTAAAGAAACGGTTGCAAGCCTAACCTCCAAACACAAAACAGTATTAATAAATAACAAGCATAGAAATCCGCCCGATGGTGTTACCGGCCCAACGAATCATATTATCAAACATCGCACCAATAATTCCGAATTCAACTATTGAAAACGTTTTTAGTTCATTTACCTGTAAAAACACCACCATCCGGGACTTAAAGGGTTCGCTACTTTCAGCAAAAATAGGGATTGCGATAACCACGCAAGTGGGGGAGTACTCATCGCAGTGTCAGAGAAAGAAGGACGAAACAAAATGTTCGAAAGGAAATGCAAAAAATTGAATAAATAGAACGGTAACGATATTAAATTCAGGAAATAATGACGACGACGTTGAAGATGAATGGTAACATCGAGAAAGAAGGGAAAAAGTAGTACCGATGACAAAATCATCGATAACGATAGTGAAGGATAAAACGAAGGTACAAAAAAATCCTAGATAATAATAAAATATGAAGTATTTGCTCTGAGCTTTGCAGGTGAACTCGGTACATTGTGTAAACAGTAGAACATTTAACTGTTTGTTTGAATAAATACTACGCACATTTTGGTATTTTTAACGTCGTAATAAAACACAGTCTTTGTGTTTATATTCCTAAGAGTAACTGAGAATTGCTTATCGTTTGATATACCGTAAGATTACGTACCTCGACTTTTATAAATCGACGATAACCGCGTAAGAAAGTACAGTATCGGAACATTCTTATATGCGTCATCTATCAAACTTATCGACGGTAAAGTACCGAATTCCAGGGACAGGCGTAAGAATTTCCAGAAAAGGACTATTAACACGTTCGTTACGACGATTCTGTTCAAGCATCGTCCCCTATCCTTCGAATTATTTCCATTAACACGTTAAGCGCGGCGTCAGTCCGTGGTGACTGACAGTGAACTTTCCGTTTAGGCGGCGTCAGTCCGTGGAGACTGACAGTGAACTTTTTGTTTAGGTGGCGTCGGTCCATGGGACCGGCAGTATCGTGTTTAAAAAATAAATGTTATGCACGTCTCCTTTTTTTTTTGCAATTTATGAACGCTTCTTCTATCAACCCGGATTGGTATTTCTTCGTCTGAATGCCGTGTGAGCGCATTTGTTATCTTCTGTTTATACTCTACAACCGAACAGCTCGCGAAGTGATCGCCGCTGTGTGCCGCCTGAACGGGAAGCAGAGCGAAATCGGCTCCGCGCTCAACGTGTTAAACATTCTCAACGTCTGTATTTTTATCAGTTTTTCGCTTATACACGCCTAATATTGATCAAATACTCAAACTGTGCATTTTGTACGATGCATTGCAACAGACTCGTGTGTCACACGTATGTGACGTTTGATAAAAGTTTGCTTATGGTCAAATAACTGGTTACGAAGCAAAGATCGCACTTTTCCGAAAGGAATACAGGCGACTGTCCATTTTAATATAGGAAACAACGCAGAAGGTAGCCTTTAGATAATAACGAAAAAAAATGTCAATCGACCGGGCGTGATACGGTTAGCGTCAAAGACGAATAAGCAGCAGAGAGGACATGGGAAATTTTCAGTGGAACGAACGACTAAAAGAGTGTACAGGCGGCAGATGAAGACGCGAGGGTGAAGAATGGAAGACGGTTGAGAGTTTCTTGATTAATGGCCCGTAAAAGGAAATGGTAGGTCATGGATGATAGTAAATAGCAGGGAAGGGGAATGAGAAAGAGGTAATGGAGGTTGATGTAGGGCGGCTAGAAGTAGAAGATAAAGTGACGCGGGTGAATGAAAGGCAGGAAGGGTCGATTAAATTAGTGTTGGATATCGGGAAGGGAATGATAGAAAGTGGCAGGCGAATGATGAGAAGGCAAACTAACGGCGGGTAACTATGGACGCTAATTTCGTTAGTGAAGACAATGAAAGGGATACAACGTGCGATAGTAAAACAGCCACTTTTTAAAGGAAACAGCCAAGTAATTGATTCTGAGAGGAAAGTGGATGATACGTAGGAAAAGATGGAAAACAAGCTGAGAAGATTATTTCAAGGAAATATTGCGGATGAAATTAGTTGACATAGTAACGCAGAAATTGAAAAGACTTAAAAAGTCTACTGTGATCTGTAAAATCTGTCTTCTTAATTAGAAAATGAATATAGTCTCGGTTAATTCCTATTAATTCTCGAATTCAAGAAAACGAATAAACCAATCAAACAACCTTCTCCGCCTTCCTCTTTATTTATCGTCACCCGGTGTTTCTCTGTCGCGATAGCTCGTCCAAAATATACCGACCCAATCTCGCCAATACATAAATTAACAGATTGCAATCGGGCAACAATAGAAGGCGGGAAATGGTGGGTGAAAAGAGAACGTCACTGAACGTGGTTAAAACGATAGAGGGTGACAGATAGGAGCGGACACAATGGAAGAAATACTGAGGTCAGGAATAGCATCGAGGCTGGACGCTAACAAAAGCTAGGGAAACATCGTGTGTACAAGTCCTGAGAAAATATACACGACGAGAGATGGACGGTCGTGAAGCTGCGAGGAACTTGGTGTGTAGCGAATAATGGCGAGGGACATCGTGGCAGAGCAGCGTGGGGAACAATATGCCAGAGGTGTAATGAAGTTTATCGGTTAGGGGAGCAGATTTCGAGGCCTGCAGGTCGCCGGCTCTCGCTTCCGGAACCGCTCGCCCCAAACTGAAATCACGATGGCCAGCCTCGCGCTTCCTCTGCCTCCCGTAGCCAGCAGACCACCGTTCACCCTGTTTCCGGTCGCAATGTATCGCCG